ATCAGTTATAATAGGATAAGCAGTTTATATGTGTAATATTACTCGACGAGTGCATTATAGTTTCATGTTCCGTAATTTACTCGATATAAAAATCGATATTCACTGATAAATTTAAATTACTATAACTTATTTTTTTATACTCTTATCATCGGTGTGATGCAAGAAGTTTGGTCTTGTTGCAAATCCTCTCAAAGAATCAAAATATCCAACGAGTAAATTCGCCGTAGTCTCTGGGGAATCGATGGTCGTCTTGTTACAGTCTATTCTATCTGTTGTAATTTTATTTTTATACTTTGTAATAATATAAAGAAGGGTACGAATGATCTTACAAAGCTCTAACCATCCAAGTTTATGATAATAATGTATATCTTTTGTTAGGGACCAAGCAATTTCGTTAATTTCCTATTCAGTAGAAATTTTATGTGGTATTGTACGTTGGTGGATTATTTTAATATAAAAAATAAATTGGTTTCTATTTAAGTGTTACTAATGCAAAGAAAAGCCAGAAAATATAGACCGTCGGCCAGGCGCGAACCCTCGACCAACTTCCAATAGCAAGTGCCTTTATCCTCTCGGCCACTGGTGGGCTTATTTATGAGTAACGTGAAGAGATCATAAAAATAGTCCGTAGAAGTGTTGATAATCTTGTATTTAATATAAATAGTTTAATATATATTATATTACATATACGACAGTAAGGACGTCCGAACTTGTATAGAAGTAATAAATGTAAAGTTACATTCATTTCGTATGGCACGCAGAAGATTCTTAATATCATATTTATAAGGAACAAAGAGGTATTAGGTAGGTGATGGAATAAAGGATAAGCTGTGACATCGAATTCGATCTTTGCTGAGTTATGTAACACGTAATCCAGCGGAGATTGTGTTTTCAGCCATTCTCTTAGGGCAATACGAGTCATCAGCTATAATTAAATTATTTTGTAATCAGGATTTTTATTTGTTTTGTTTTATGAAAATCAAGAATGAAATATGAAATATAATCATAAAATATTCTGTTCTTGTAGCATTATGCATTGGAGATTTCACCCTACCGTTTTGAGATCTTATTACTTTTATATGTACTGTAATTAAAACAGGGTTGTCATTATATAGGAGTATAGAGGTGTGGATCACCTATTAGAAAACCCAATATAATGATTTCAGTCGGAAAATACATCTCATAGTCAAAAAATGATCAATGATACCGTCACGAACAATTACAGGTCGGTCGGTCGGTCAGTCAGAAATTTAGTTTAGACACGAATGACAGCGTAATAATCGAATTATAAGACGCCGAATCGGATTAATTATGAAAACAGTAATTATTTCAAATGTAACAGCTGTAATTCTTAAACTAAGTCGATAAATGGTATGAATAGTTTGGAAAATGTTCGCTTAATTAAGGCTATAAAACTACCGAACACTCATTGTTTGTGGGTTCGCGCCTCTCCAACGAGCTGGCTACGTGGAGTTTTCCGGATTTTCTTCGCATCAATAACATCTAAATAGGGGGTCAATTCCCATAAAATTTCTCTCGGGAGGCACCCTCCTATGGCAGATGGCCCACGTTAAGATAATGTGGTCTTAGTAAGGTGATTAGATGGGTTTGAACAGTAAAAAAAGTACAGACAAATGGATTAAATTTTCAATTTCTTGCGACATATTTCATCATCAATTCATATTTTTCTTGTTATAAATTTAATGAAAATATTTCAGATAAATGGAAAATAAATATATCCTTTCCTGAAACATAACTAGAAGATAAAAATAATATATGAAGTGATAGAACAAGATTTTGTTAGTTACTGTAGCTTAAGAACATTGTTCAAAACAATTGGGAGATATTGCAAAATCAGCTTACTCCTACTACCAATAAGCTGATTTTGCAATATCTCCCAATTGTTCTTTATATATATATATATATAATGTATTTATCGAACATAAAATAAATTTATTTATGAAGGCAAACTGTGAAATTTAATATATTTACAGTTGAAAACAATTTAAAAATTCTTAAATTTGGATTAATGAGGTAAAGCAACTCAACACACGGACGATCGACTTAGAGGAGGGCCTTCTGGAAAGAATTTCCATAAAAAAATTGGGTCATATTTAGGCGAACAAAACTCAGATAAGTCTACGCGGCATCTCATTGGTCAGGTGCGAACCCACGACTAGTGGTTTTGTTTGTTTGATTCGTTTATGGCAACACGAGAAGTGGATTCCAGGGAGGATTTTCTAAGGAAAATTTATCCCCTATTTGGGTGTTACTAACGTGAAGAAAACCGGAATACTTCACGTGCCTGTTGTCCACGCGCGAACCCACGACTAACAGTGTTCAGTGGTTTTATTCACTGGTGGTCCTCCTTCTAGTGTAGTTTTATAAATCCACTGGTAGACACTTGTTAAATTTATGTTAAACAATTTACGAAGTATCTTCGTAGCAAAGTTATTCAATTGACGTTAAAATCGAATTTACAGTATTATACAGTATTAGTATTGATTTCTGGATTAAATACATTTAAATATATTGAAATTGTTTTTAGGCAGTGTAGTTGAATATAAATTTACATATATTATCTTTTATATATGTTACTGAAAACAAAACTATTTTAATAAATTATTTTTATGTTAAAATAATTTTTAAAAGATTTGAGTTGCGTTATACAGTAGTTTATTAAAATATAAGAAGACGAATGTGCAAATCAATAGACTTCAAATAAGAAAAAAATAAATAAATTCCAGAAAGGAAAATAAAAATTTCTTATTGAAATTGTTCAATAAAATATATTAATGTTTATATTTTTCTTACTAATAAATAAATTTAATTCGTTAAAAATATATATTATCACGAAGTTCTTTCCTATTATCGAATGGTAAAATTTTAATTTTACATCTCAAAAATTAAAAATATCCAGAATTTTCTTAATAATATAAATGTGATGAAAAAAATCTTTAGGCTATATTTTACGTATATTAAATATTATTTTTTGTGTAGATCAATATTTTTTGCGAAAATCCGAACCAGATTAAAACTAGGATTTCTCAAAGCTGTAGGCTGCGGGTTTACCGCGCGATTAAATGGTTAAGTTACGGCAACGCAACACTTAGGCGATCTGCCTAGACCAGGGGTCAGCAACCTTTTGAGTCGGAAGAGCCAAAAATTACAATTTACAAAATTTCAAAGTTTTTAAAGAGCCACAAAATTTTTTCTTGCCAACAATAAATAGTACTCGCATAAATAAAGTTTTTTGATTAAAAAAAACTAATTTATCTATTCATAAGAAAAAATATCTATTTATTCATATATAAGTAGTGTTTTTCACAACAAATTAGATAATAGAAACATCCGACGACGGCGTCATTCGAGAGCTTCCGACGGACTGACGACAGTGACGACGCGTGTCACGGGGGAGGGGTGCGATGAAAAGCGAGTACAAGTGGCTGAGAGATAGAATCAGTGCCTAATCCTCGTTAATCGATTCAGAACGATTTTTAAATGTTTTTTTTTTTTTTTGATAAAATAAATAACATTTGCGTATGGAACTAAAGAGCTGCAGCTTCACATCCAAAGAGCCGCATGTGGCTCGCGAGCCTCAGGTTGCCGACCCCTGGCCTAGACGGATGCCTTCCGGGAGGTATTTTAAGATTAGCTGGCTCTTATTTAGTTGTTACAGACGTGGAGAAAACCCGGAAAACTCCACGTGGCCAGCCCGTCCTGGCGAGGCGCGAACCTATGACCGATCTCTCAGTGTTCAGGGAACGGAACCGGTAGGCCTCATTATGCTGGCCACGTGGAATTTTCTAAATTTTCTTTACGTAGAAAGCAAAGGCAACAAAAGATATCACTTACATAGGGGCCAGTTTTCCATGAAAGTCATCCATGAATCATCTACACTGGACAGATCGCCCATGAGTCGACTATCGCATACGATTAAAACCAAACCAAGCCAAACCAAATCTACCGCTTTTGGGAACCCGGAATCGAATCTGACACGAGTTGAAAAACTCCATGAGTATTTTGGGGGACAGTCTGTCCGGTTATATTAGACACCAGATTGTGGACTTGCTGAAAAGACACAAGACGGAAAGAGTTTTAAAAATTTGGCTTCTTTGTTTATGAAGAATTTCATACAGGGTTTGATGAGAAATTTTTACATTCCTTTGTTTGACGAAGAAAATAATAAAAAATAGTGTTTACCTACTGAAAGAAAGTTTATCAACTAGTGCACAATCAAAAGCTCAGGAAATTAATTTGTTGATCGATTTTTCAAATTGCATTAAATTCCCTGTAGAATCAGCAATAAGGCAACGGTGTTTTACCAGAACAGAACAAAACAAATACTTAAAACTTTACGAATTTTTACTGCAAGGAATATGTTTAGTAATAATTGATAATTTTATTTAAAAACTCTGAAAACTTTCAGGTTTCGTATGATGTGTATGACTCACATAGAGTGATTTTTTATATTAATTAGTTTCTTTGACATATCTCATAAAAACGAAATAATTTTCTTCATAGAGCGTTGTCAATTTTAATTAGTAGTAACCCATGTTCGAATTACCACAAACTCATTAATAGGGTCGGAGTGGAGAAAAACCACTGGCCGTGGGTTCGCGCCTCGCTAAAGGACTAAAATTTTCTGGGTTTTCTTCATCTTTGTAACATTTACATAGGGGTCATTTTTTCATAAAACTCGTCCCGGAGTCATTCCCCCTAGATAGATCGCCTACGTTTTGCCTGGCGGTAATCAAATAAACCATATTAAATTACCACATTATTTTATTTCTTAAGAATATTGTCTACTATAAATACTGTACTACTATAAAAATACTATACTATAAGTACTATATAATAAATACTATAAGTACTACTATAAAAAAATTAAAATAAAATAAAATACAGTATTATTAATACTGATGTCTATACAGGCTTAAAGGTGATTATAGTGTCATAACAGAAAGATTTTGACGGTCCAATGTCCGAAGTGGTTAAGATCTTAGTTTACTTCTATGGGGATTCCAGAACTGATTCCGGGTGATCCAAAAACCTAAGAAATTTCTCGGATATGTCGATCCACCCGGTCGCCCCATTGTGGGTCTGGCCGAGCTCATGTGAGTATGATTAATTGCCTTCTTACTGCTCACATGGCGGAAAGAATAATAAAAAGTAGATAATTTATGTTTGAAATTTGTAATTTATAATAGAATAAATAATTATAATTGGCTTTACTAATGAAAATAATCGATACGTATATAAAATATTAACTGAAGATATTTGCAATATTTTATCATCAAAGACTTACCTTTCCTCTTCCATCAACAACAATCGTCAGATACAAACGAATCCTTCTATTTCAGGTGTGGCCAAACTTTTATCCCTTAGGGGGTTCTTTTTTTGTTAAAATATAGTCTGCGGGCGACTATGAATATGGGCAAACAATTTTAGGATTTTTATATGCGCATGCATTAACATTCATTTGCATTGTTCATCGGGATAAATACAAACAGTATGGGTACGTTGCACAGACAGTCTATTATTGTAAGAATAAATTATCGAATTAAGATTTTTAAACATTAACTTAAGTGAAAGCAAATTGTTCAACTTTAGCTTTGCGGGCTACTTTCAAAACCTTTGCGGTCGACCGCGGTCTATGTATTGGCTATCTCTGTTCTATTTCATATACTACTGAGGTAATATTTGAATGGTCCCTGTATAAAGTTCCTGAGAACAGTTAATAATGTTCTTTCCGTACATAACGTAGCTTTTCTCTCTTATTGATAATAATTAAATTTATTTCTTTAAAATTCTGCAATTACTTTTTTAATATATATTTATATAGGCCTATATATATATAAGTCCCACCAGTAACCGAGTGGATGAAACAATTGAGCACTGGCAGTTGGTAGCGAGGTATTTCGCCAACGGGCTGGCCTCGTGGAATTTCCCGGGTTTTCTTCACGTTATTAACAGCTAAATAGGAACCAGTTTCCATGAAGGTCCATCCAAGAGGAACCCCTCTAGGTAGATCGCTCATTTGCCGCGTTGTCATAATCAAATAAACCAAACAAAACATTTTTTATATAATTTAGAAAGTATTGTACCAATTTTCTTTATTTTTTTCTTAGAGAAATGTCTTGAATGAATCATGTAGTAACCTATAATTTCACAAAAACGATTTATATTCTTACTAATAAATAAATTTAATTCGTTAAAAATATTTTATTCGTATATTTATTATTAATCAAATTCTTTTTAAGTTGGTCAAAGAATTAGAATTATTTAGGACAAGCAACACAATTCATGAATAATTTACTTCATTGTGTATTGTAAAAGAAATGTTGATCTTTTATGTTGTTTACATTTTGTATATTTGATTTTCTCCAAGAGCATCGCGCCTTGTATCTTTTCAATAATAAATACCAGAGAAAAATTCTAAATCTGTCATTGAACACTTATTTTTTATGCGTTTAAAAAGAACTATTTTTATTTAAGAAGTAAAATACTTACTTTTATCAAGTAAATGTGTTACTGATGTAACCCTATTTTATAAAACAATTACATTTTCTGATTAGAAAATATAAAAATAAGAATTCTTTATACAGGGTCCATTCCTCCTTCGGTCATTAGCAATTGTCAGATAAAAATAAATTTTCCATCCCCATATACTATACTGGATAATATAAGAGATGAATTGGTAAAGAAGTCAGTGGTTGGAAGATTATTGAAAAGCCCTTCCTGCAGTGAGCTGAGAACAGTTGATAATGATATGAAACTCCTGAAAACGCTAGACTTGAAAGGCAAAAACATAAGTACAGTACCTGTACATAAAGACACCATTAAATATTAGTAAATGTAAAACAGTATGTATAACACTCCATAGATGCATATCTATGGGGGTGCTTATTGTGGCTGCATCACTACCACATTGATACCAGAGCAATCAGTTCAGTTACTTTAAAATAAAATTAAATATAATGACGCTAAATATAATTAGGTAACTAAAGTAATTCTCAGGTAATTGAGTAACATTCTCCAAAACATTGCATGGGTATCTTAATCCCCTTGAATCTGCCTTGAGCATCACCCATATTATAAAAATCCTGGATATGCCGGATATGCCACTGATCTTGCGAGAAGCTGGTCACATACATCTCCACGAGGCTACCAAATAGAAACTCAAGATGATTAACCGAATCGCTTCAGATGATGACAAAGATTGAGATAGAAGATGACTATGAACTAGATGGAACGGTTTGGTTTAGTTGGTTAAGGCAACGCGACACGTAGATCTGCTATGGAGAATTTTATGAAGGACTTTTATGGGAAACTTGCCCCTATTTAGATGTTTCCTACGCGAAGGAAAGCCGGAAAACTCCACGTGGCAAGCCTTTTGGCGAAGCGCGAACCCACGACCACTGAACACTGGTAGTTACTAGTATGTTCGGTGGTTTTAGCCATTTGGGCATCTTCAAAATTGATTAACACAGGATAACACACGAGGGAGGTCCTAAATCAGAAATGGTTCGTGATGATGTAAAACACATTCGACGTAAGGTTATTTTGCTCAATTTCCTTTCATTTTATCTCTATACAATTCAAATTGTTAAAAAAAATTCATTCGAAAGCTTTTAATAACATTTAATCTTAGAGAATTACATCGATGTGACGTAATTTAAAATTAAGAAAATATGTTTTTTAATAAAATTTCGTATTTAACAAATCAATTTTGAATTTTGTAAAAATTAGATACGAATTTAGTGAATGTCTGATTTAAAATTAAATTAGTTATTAAAACTGAAAAAATTCAATTAAATAACGTCTGACAATCGGTAAGGTACTAGGATATTCCCGTAGAATAATAGCTTAGTAACATTATAATTATCTTTTTGGAATTTTTTTTCTAGGGAAAAATTAATTTCTAATTTATAATGAATTAATTTGATTCACTGGAAAATTTTGAATTAATAAGAAGGAAAAACTTCCATACAGAAAATAAATACAGAAAATCTATAAAAATCCTGTGGATAAACCAGCGACCGAGTGGATAAAACCACTGAACACTTGGTTGAACAATTGGTCGTGGATTCGAGCCTAATCATAAGCTGACCTCGTAGAGTTTTCCGGGTTTTCTTTACGTTTGTTATCAACTCTACAATATTTTAAGACCTTATATTAAAAAATTTTGTGACATTATCACGATTTCGGGATGCAATTTTTAATTACATTTTAATTTAAAAATTCACGTGACTTCATTTCCAGACAGGAATTTCGTATATAGTTAATTTGGGGTATGGCCTGTAAGCTTTCCATATCTGGTTTTGATTTTCATCCATTTAATTCCGTTTTTGAGATTAAGGAAAGACGGACGGACAGACGGACGTCCTTCTGAACCTATAGATTTTCACTGTCGTCCGTCTGTCCGTCCGTCCTTCCTTAATCTCTTCAATCTTCCTTAATTCTCTCTTCCCGATATTGGCGCTGTATTAAATATTAATAATAATATAATTAATGCATTAAAAATTAGAATAAATTACTTTATAATTGCATTTTACAAATATGTTTTATTTTCTACAGAACTTAAGTTATTGAAGTTGTAAATTGCAGAAGTACTTTATGGATATTCTATATTATCATACCTTTCTTAGACTCTTAGATGCGTATGAAAAATTTTAATTTAAAATTTTTTTTCATTTATATAAATTTGATAGGGTCACAATCAATTTAAATATTAAAATATTTTATTTCCATATAAAATAAATCCATTATGTAAATAATACATTTTTCTGTAAAATTAAATTAAAAATTAAGGTGCAGTCGTTGAACTTCTCTGCGAATGATTAATAATGATTTTTATGGATATTTGATAAAAATAAATATTTATAATTGAATTTTTATAATAGAAAATATGTTTAGGTAAATAATTATTTTATGTTTAGGTAAATAATTATTTTAATTAAATAATAATTATTAATTATTTACCTAACAATTTAACAACGTTATAACGTTGTTGAGGAAAGATAATTAATTTGTAATCATTAAATTATCGCTGTAGGATTTCCTTTATCAGTCGTAAAATTAATTCTGTGAGGTAGGAATTAAATGCTGGAGGTTTGAAACTGAGCATATAAGTCATAACTCTTGTTTATGGCACTTAGTCAATGGTAAAACTAATTCCGTTATACATGTCATTTAACGTCGCAATTTCTAAGATCCTGTTGAGGACGTTAAGTGAGGATTTGCAGTACAGAAAATAATTTAAGTGCAAGAGAAAGTGAAAGAATAAAGGACAAGGATCCATGCGCAACAAAAGAAGAAACAGCAAAGAGCAAAGATCCAAGTGAAAGGATAAAGTACAAGTACAAGTGAAAACTTCTGGATCAAGTTTAGAACGAATGCAAGGAAAAGTGCAAGAACTAAGTGCAGCGATATCTAAAGATACATATATATATGAAAGACATCGGCAGTACACAAGGTGTATAGCCGGCGAAAAAGAGGGTAAGGGAAGGGAGAAGAAGGAGGGAGAGAAGATAGACAGTAGAGAAAGGTAGGATCCCTCTGAACGGCGTACTGTACCCACTACGTCGGATGTTGGCGTGCAGTTTTTAGGCTGCAAGGCCGTAGTCCCCGAAGGATCTAAAAGAAAACCTGAGTGTAGCAAACACCAATAATTGAGTGCCGTCAAGAATAGTTAAGTGTAGAAGTTACGCCAAGTGGCTGTTAGTAGGAAGACTTATAGCTATTTAATACTAATAAAATCTAGCTAGAACGAATCTTAATACTATTAACAGCTAGCCAGCAGTGTGAAAACAAACGAACACAACGACAAACTAGACAAAACGAACGGACCGACAGCAGACAAACGAGCAAGACCCCAATTTATTATTATTATTTATTTATTTTTAAACATTAACTTACTTGCTAACTAAACTAACCTACCGTAACCTAGGATGAATCAAACCAGACGACTAAAGCTAACAATCCTAATCTAATTTAATTAACCTAGCCTATCATAACCTGACCGGAAACCAAGTCCCTAATCTAACTTACAATTAGGACTAACTTAAACTAACAGAATTTAGACTGAAAAGAAGATGGAAAATAAGAATTAAAA